CGGGCCGCTCACTGGCTGAGCGCGGTGCGGGCGCAACACCGAGGGTTGCGATGCCATTGCCGGTCCCCGGTACGGGCGGGACACCGAGGGTTGCGATCCCGTGGCCGGTCCCGGGCCGGTACGGGCGCAACACTGAGGGTTGCGATCCGTTGCTGGTCACGAAAAAAGACAAAAAGGAAAAAAAAAAAAAAAAAATAGAATACAGGTTTTTGGGGCCGGCCAGGTGGCGCACTGCTGTAGTGCGCCGCTTGGGAAGCACGGAGGCGCTCCCGCCAAGGGTTCGGATCCCATGTGGAGACCAGTTCCCGCTCACTGGCTGAGCGAGGTGCGGGGGCAACGCCGGGGGTTGCGATCCCGTGGCCGGTCCCGGGCCGGTACGGGCGCAACACTGAGGGTTGCGATCCGTTGCTGGTCACGAAAAAAGACAAAAAGGAAAAAAAAAAAAATAGAATACAGGTTTTTAAAAAACCAGAAAAAAAAAAAAACCCTACAGAATTAAAGCAAATAGTATGTTTTTAAAGAAGATTAAAGAAATTCACATATTCAAATAAGAGAACTTATCACCATAAAACTATTTGCACTATTCACCCACACACATACACAAACAAAAGAGGTACCTGAATCCGTATTTGTAAATGTAGGGGGTGTGTCAAAAGCATTTGCTTCAAACTGGGCTGAAGGATTAGTTAGTTCTGATTCTTGGTCTTTCTGTATTTTTTTTCCTAGAAAAGATGATTCATAATTTATAGCATAAATAAACTTTTTTGTTTTTTTTTTCAAAGTGGATATTAAACCTGTATTCTTCAAAGTGACAGAAGTATGTGTGACAGTGGCTGGCCAACTTCCATTATCAGTTGAACTCTGACATAAAGGATCCTTTTTCTGTGCGCAAACAGCACGTATTTCCAATCCACTTTCAGAGGCTTCAATTTCTTCTTTAAAGTTTGGATCAGTCACATTACCTGAGAAAACTGCACTGAAAGTCTCTTCAGGTGATTCTCTTATCCTGAATATAGACTTTTTGATACCCTGAAATGGAGAAGCTATTGGAGAAGTTCTAGATATTGCCTGCTTTACCCCAAGAACAGAGTCCTCATGAGACTGAAGACACTGCCCTTCATTTCTTTTATGAATCATTGTTTCCTCATGTAATATCTTCTCTGATTTTGGTAGACTAGAAATATGTTGCAAAGAATCTTCTGAGGTAATAAAGTTGGTATATTCTTTACCTATGTCTATTATGTTTTTTTCTGAATTATTTTGATCACAAGAAGAAATATGCAGTAGGGGTGTTTTCTCCATCTGAGTTCCATTTAGACCTGAGAGGGTTAGCTGAGACCATTCAGAGACTGAAGGTAGCACAATCTCCTTGGACATTTTGTCACTTCCATTCCCAAAAGGCTTCTGATTTGTTACATTTGAATCTAATGGATCACTGTCTTTTGGTTCCATTTCAGATAAAAATGAATGTTTATTTCCTTTCATTTGCTTTTTAGCTTCTTCATAGTCATCAGTTTTTGTTTCATGGAAAATTCTTTTCCTAGTCCTCCCAGTTCTTATTTTTTGTAGATTTCCTATTCTATACTTAGAAAAACTATCTTCTTCAGAAATATCTGCAACTGTTTCATGTACTTCATCTTCTAGGACATCTGGCATTGACCTTCCAAAGTGGTCTTTGCAACCATTCACTTTACCAAATGAATTTCCCAATATTTTCTCCAGTCCTGTTAAAATTTAAAACAGAAGCACATTAATAAACTTTTATAAAACCACATAATTCATATTATTCTCACAACTTTTCCTGTAGAAACAGTACATATTACATAATTCAGCTTTTACAGGGTTATTCTGAGCACTAATTTTTTTTTTTTTTTGGTTAGTTACCCTTTGCAGTGGATTGAATTGTGTCCTCCCAAAGTTTAATGTGTTGAAGGCTTGGTCCCACTGTGACAGTGTTAAGAGAGTGGGAAATCCTATTACAGTAATTGAAAGGTGGGGCCTTGAAGAGAAGATTTGATTGTAAGGACCCTGCTGTAAGAGAATAATCTAAGTGATTCATTTTCAGAAATAATTCAGGCCCGGTCTGAAAGCTGTCTGACTGGTCCAGCCCATTCCTGGGGGGTTGCTGAACAGATAAAGTTCTTGAGATCACAATGAGTTACGAGCCCTTTATTGTTCTCTTCCTTCCCTAGTGTTTCTTCTTTCACAGGGTTTCAGTGGGCCTTTTTGATGGGCTTGTCCCTGAGTGCTCAGACAAAGAAATTTTTTATAAGCGGGTAGTAAATCGGGTAATGTTAGATGTGCACCCTGTAGTACTATCAGCCAATGAAGAGGTGGGGGCAGGGACTTGTGTGCTAGGGAATAAATTGCTTGCTACAGCCCTTTTCCGTGTGTCTGCCCTTCAGACACCTGAAACTTGCAAGGCCGTAATTAAAGTCTTGCTTTGCTGTACCGCGTGTCTCCATGTCCATCGTTTGGCCTTGGACAGGTGAGGACATTTCTCACACCTGCCATAATGAACGGTTTAATGGTGGTCATGGACATGGTTCTGAGGGCTTTAAGAGTGTGTGAGAAGTTCTCTATCTCTGCTCCCACCATCTTGCAATGTGATACTTTGTGTCACCACCAAAGAAGACCCTCACCAGATGTGTTCCCTAGATTTTGGACTTCCCAGACTCTGAAACTGTAAGCAATTTTGTTTTCTTACAAACAGCCCAGTTTCAGATACTTTGTTATAAGCAACAGAAACGGACAATACACCTTCTTCGGGTAGAGCCCGATTCCAATGTACCCAAAGCAGTTTATTCATTTTTTTTTTTGTCTTTTTCCGAGTCCGGCAACGGATCGCAACCCTCAGTGTCGCCCCCGTACCGGACCGGGGACCGGCAACGGGATCGCAACCCTCGGTGTTGCTCCCATGCCTCGCTCAGCCAGTGAGCGGGAACCGGTCGGCATGCGGGATCCGAACCCTCGGGCGGGAGCGCCGCCGCGCTTCCCAAGCAGCGCACTATCCAGTGCGCCACCGGGCCGGCCCAAAGCAGTTTATTCATAATCCAATCTATAATAATCTTTCTTTACCAACTCTACACAAGCAAAACTCACCTAATCCTACTATGTATATAACTTGATATTTTAAGACCTATCAAACCAGATGGTCCAAATCAATTTTGTGGCTCTACAACAACTGAGAGTAAAATCTGATTTTATGTTAAACTAAGTTTGAAATAAAGGTCTCTTCGGAATTAGTGAACTATAACCTCATTTGATGTGCAGACTGTTAACTTACTCTTGTAACAAGTAGCCGAGTCTCAGCCAATCACAGGCAGCCAACTGTTCAAACAGGATTCAAGTAAGGCAAACATCCACCTGTAACCAATCTAGCTGTTTCTGTACTCACTTTTTTTTTTTTTCTGACTGGTACTCAGCACGGTGTTGTCCGTACCACGCTCAGCCAGAGTGCACCGGCCACCCCTATATAGGATCCGAACCCACAGCCTTGGTGCTACCAGTGCCACACTCTCCCGAGTGAGCCACGGAGCTGGACCTCTGTACCTCACTTTCATTTTCTGTATGTCACTTTCCTTTTTCTGTCCATCAATGTTATCAGACCATGTGGCAGCCCTGGAGTTGCTCTGATCCTATTCTGGTTCTGGAGGCTGCCCAATCTGCAAATCATTCTTTGCTCAATTAAACTCTGTTAAATTTAATTTGTCTAAAGTTTTTCTTTTAGCAGATGGAGTTACAAGTGGGATCTGAAGTACAGCTTCCAACAACCCCCAGGAGCATCAAATGATCAAGCAAGGTACCCATAGGGGCCATTTATGTCCACTGTTCTCCCACAGCACCTGAGGATTGTGGGTAAGTTCCTTCTCAAATTCTGAAGCTCCACGAATTTGTGTTTTCAACTATGTGAGTTTGGGCAAATGTTTATCAACACTGGGTCTGGAAGTCATGGCAGAAACTAGACTGGGTCCAGAATTGGACTGGATCCGATAATTAACTGTATTGGATCCAATTAGAGGCCTCAGACAAAAACTGGCAGTAAATGGCAATTACTGCAGGGGGTGCGAACTTCAACTTTCAGAAACTCTCAGGGATTTTTGTGCTTTGTCTTCTTCATTTCTTTTCTTGCATGCTTAGATAGAGAAAAATCATTGGCTAAGTTGATCAAGGGGATCTTAGAGCCAAGATTTAATATAAGAATGGGATCCTTAATTTCTGAAGAACTGAGTACTTCACCTTCCAGCTATGCCTATCTTAGGTCCCAGAAGCAGCAAATACTTACGGATGGTGAAATCTTTCTAAAGAGAACTTAAAGTTACAGTGGAACGTTCCAAATGAACACTGCACTTTAAGAAGCACATTAAAAAAATGAGGGTTCCTGAATTAAGCTCACCCAGAGATACTTACTGATGTGCAGAAGCTTCTAAAAAGATTTCAAAATATTTATTGCTTCTTTTAAAAGACTCTTTACAAAAGGTGGGGGGGGGGGAAGCTTAAGCAAATACTTGATTAAAATAATCAAATCTGTTAACCTCTTGGCTCAGCTAATATCCATCAAAAGGCGAAAAGAAAGCTGGATAAAGTGTTTATAAAAGGTAGGCCCTCATGTAAAGTAGCCTTGCTTATTTTTCAGAGCTATCCATGCTGAGTCAAGGTATAGAGAATGCTTTCTTTGCCTTATTTGTTCATGGGCTCCACCCTGAACTAAGTAATTTTAGCTAAGAATCAGAAGCTAAGTTAAAAAGACTGCTTATTGACCCAAATCAGTCTCTAAAATACACCTTTCTGACATTTAGCTGGCTATTTTGAAACCATTTTGCAAAAGAAATTTATTATAAAGGAAATCTCCATTTGTAAGGGTGTCTGCTTCCCTGCACCAGGAAGAGGAAGAGAACTGAATCACTAAAAACTCCTACAGTGAAAAAATGCATTAGTTTAAATATACATAACAAGCCTTATCCTTTGTTTAAGGTGCTTTTCCTGACCATCTTGTCTTAACTGGGTCTTTACCTACATCTGCTTTCCTTGGTTTGGGTAAATGCTGTTTCTTATGGTGTTTAGGCCTGAAGTCTCAACTCTGTGCTTTTAAGATGTACATTTTCTATACTGTTTTACCTAAGTTATCCCTTTGAAACCGCAAATTTAGGGTAAAAAATTCTAGATGATTATTACAAATAGGATAAGTAAAGCAGAAAGTGATGAGGTTAAAACAAAGACTAAATCTATCGAAGGCTGGATGGATCAGAGGGACCCCTGTGGTCTCCCAACGTTACAGGACTCCTGACCAGTCCACTCTACTTACCCCAGTTTACAGAAATTTTAAAAAGTCAGAAGGCAGAAATTATAATGAGCAAACTAGCTAACAAACACTTAGGGCAATAATCAGACAGGTCAATTAAGAAAAGGGAAAAGGAGGGCCGGCCCGGTGGCGCACTGCTACAGTGTGCTGCTTGGGAGTGTGGCGACGCTCCCGCCGAGGGTTCAGATCCCACATACAGACTGGCCGCTCACTGGCTGGGCGAGGGGCGGGCGCAACACCGAGGGTTGCGATCCCGTTGCCATTGCCGGTCCCGGTCCGGTATGGGCGCGACAATGAGAGTTGCGATCCGTTGCCGGTCACGAAAAAAGACAAAAAGACAAAAAAAAAAAAAAAAAAAAAAAAAAAAAAAAAAAAAA